CCCCCTCAAGGATTGAACTCACAACCCTAGGTTTAGCAGGCTAATGCTCAAACCACTGAGCTATCCCTCCCGCCATAAAACTGTAGTGTGATCTCCCACCTTCATACAGCCAGTGGCCTGTGCTCCCCACTGCCCTGCTGGAGCCTCTGCATTTATTTATTGACAAATAAAACTTGCAGAATTTTAAAATATTGGGTGCAGAATTTTTAATTTTTTGGCACAACATTTTTAATTTTTTTGGCACAGAATGTCCTCAGGAGTAAAAGCAGCAGTGTGTACAGGGCCTTAAAATGTCACACAATGCTGCAGTTGTGGAAAATGCAAAATAAACTTGTTAGATCATGCTGTCAGCTGGTAGTAATGCAGTTGCAAGTTGCTTGTTATGCTTGAATAAGTCCATGACGAACACATCAGAAACAGCCTGATCTTGAAATGTGAGCTGATCCTAGACCAATAATATAAAAAAAAATTCTGGAGGTCATATCCAACATGTTCTGGTAATTTGAATAGATATTCTATAAGAGTTCCCTACATATATATATACAAATACAAAAAGAATGACTGCTACAAGCAAGATGTAATTGATTACAGTGCAACACACAGTCTATGAGTTTCCTCTTATAATCATTCCAAAGCAAGGATTTAGGGGGTGGAAAAAGACAAATGTTGCTATTTCTTACAAATAAATTCAAAGCATAAAAACTCTGTTAGCAAATAATATCACGCTTTAGAAAACTGTGATTTCAGAACACACAAAAAAATGACAAATTGTGAATTTGTAATAATCATGTTGATTTGTCAGAAACATTTAACTGGGCAGCACAATGAGCTATTGCTCTACATTTTTACCTTAGGAACCCAACTTCACATTAAGGCTTACAGTTATATAATAAAGAAAAAAAGTCTGGTGGTTTTATAATACTTGGTGGGCATTTCTCCACAAGACAAGATAACCACATAATTCAGCATAATTGGCAGTGTGTGCTTATGAGAGAACCAGAACAAAGAGGGGGTGCAAATAAGAAAGTTAGCTGAAAGTTGAAGCTAGACAAATTAAGACTGGAAATAAAGCATACATTTTTAATGGTGAGAGTTATTAACCATTAGAACAATATTGCAAGGCTCCTGGTGGGTTCTCTCTCCCTGACAATTTTTAAATCAAGACGGGATGTTTTCTAAAAGATCTGCTGTAGGAATTATTTTAGGGACATTCTATGGCCTGTGTTATACAGAAGGTCAGACTAGATGATCACATGGTCCCTTCTGGTCTTGGAATCTATGAAAGCACAAAATCGAGATGCATTGGTACTACTCTATGAAAAGAGTTTTTACATCTTTCTCTAGCCAGTAACAGAACTCTCTTATCAAATGTATATAAAATATTACAAGACAAATATTTGTTTTTAAATCAGAGATCATCAGTGGTGCTGCAGTATTTCATGAAGTGAGCAACTGAGCCAGACTTAGAAGTACATTGATGACTATGCCTAACTCATCTTGACTGTTTCCATTTGACTTCATATCTGGATTTTGTTATTATTATTTATTTCTTGCTATTCACTCCAACCATTGACTTCTGATATAAAAATATTTTAACTTTATGGGTGAACATTGAAACCAACTCATGTGACTATCCACAATCAGAGAAGTTTCATGTGCTGTATTTTACAATCAAGTTTGCTCAGGCAGCAGGACTGAATAAATTTCGTAACTGGACATCCAAATCAAAGATGTCAGTTCCCTAACATTAGAGCATGAATTTTTTCCATGTAGAGTACCTTCTCCATCCACCCTAATTGCTCCTAAAGGAAGAGCATGAAAGCCCTTGCTGGTGCTTTCTGCTTTGAATAGCTGATATGGGATGAAAAACCTCAGTAATTTAATGTCCAGGTGACAGTTAAAGTCATGACAGAGAGGGATGGATTCCCAAATTACTTTCAGTAAAAGGCTGGGGGTTTATATTTCTTCCCCTGTCTAGAGTCAGAAGGTGGGTGAGGGTCCAATAAAACATATTACAGTACAACTTCTGTTGGTGAAAGAGACAAGCTTTCAAGCTACACAGAGCTCTTCTTCAGATCTGGGAAATGTACTCCCAGAGCATCACAGCTAAATATGGTGGAATGGACTGATTAGCATAAGTAATTAGCACATATTCTAAGGCAGTGGTTTTCAAACTGCAGGTCTCAACCCAGTATTGGGTCACGGAATGTAAGGCACTGAGTCGCGGTGGCTCTGGTCAGCACCACTGACCGGGCCATTAGAAGTCCCGTTGGCGGTGCTGCCTGGCTAAGGCAGGTTAGTCCCTACCTGTTCTAACACCACCCCGGAAGTGGCCAGCAGCAGGTCCGGCTCCTAGGCAGGGAAGGGGCGGGGGGGCACGGGGCTCTGCACGCCGCCCCCGCCCCGAGCACCATTAGCCAATGGGAGTTGAGGGGAGGCGGTGCCTGTGGGCAAGAGCTGTGCGGAGCTGCTTGCGCACCTCCGCCTAGGAGCCAGACCTGGTGCTGGCTGCTTCCAGGGCACCATGTGGTCCACGGTGCCAGGACAGGTAGGAAGCCAGCCCTGCCTTAGCACTCCCACTGTGCCACTGACCAGGAGCCATCCGAAGTAAGCCTGCATTCCAACCCTGTGCCCCAATCCCCTGCCCCAGCTCTGAGCCCAAACCAGGAGCCCCCTCCTGCACCCCAAACCCCTCATCCCTGGCCACACCCCAGATCCTGCACTCCCAGCCCAGACCCCCTCCTGCACCCCCTGCCTTGAGCCCCCCCCCAAACTGAGCCCTGCACTCCTGCACCCCTCATCCCTGGCCCCACCCCAGAGCCTGTGCCCCCAGCCCATAGCCCTGACCCCCCCCCACACACACCTTAACTTCCTTCCCCAGCCTTGAGCCCCACCCCAAACCTGGAGCCCCCTCCTGCCCCCAACCCCTCATTCCCAGCCCCACCCCGCAGCCCTCACCCCTGCACTCCAACCCTCTACCCCAGCCCTGAGCCCCTCTCACACCCCAAACCCCTCATCCCCAGCTCCATTGGGTCACGGGAATCAACAATTTTCTTCAACTGGGTCGCCAGAAAAAAAGTTTGAAAACCACTGTTCTAAGGGACCATTCAAGGTACATAGTGTCTGTGAGGACCAATAGGTCAGATATAGAGCTATTGCTTTGTGAAAAGTGTTCATCCTAAGGTCACAGGATGTTTTTGTCTTATCGTTTTCCTATGTAAATTCATTTGAGAGCACAGTCTGGTTTCACCAACATAGTTGTTATTGGGGGCATTTAGTGCACAGGCTGAAGTATACCATGTTGTGATAGACATATAGAAAATCCATGGTTCTTGAAAGGTGTGTTGTGCAGGGGGGAGAGGGTTCATTACAGCAGTGGAGATCATTACTGCACAAAGCAATCACTCTATGGCTGACCTATCAGTCTTCATCATCTAAGGAAACCTATACAACACATTCAAAAGATGAGCGTGGGAGCTTAAATTCAAAACTTTTCTAGACACTAAAAATCACGGACTGAATAGAGACACTGGATTTATGGCTTGTTACAGAAGTCTGTAACCCACTAACCCTCTCTTTTTGTTTTATGACTGCAGAGGTGTTAATGGGCCACTGTCCCTTAAAAGGTGTGCTAACTACTTATGCTAAACAATCTGTTCCACTTGCATTTAGCTATAGGAGTACCTTTCCAGACCTGAGGAAGAGCTTTATAGGGCTCAAAAACTTGTAGAAGTTGGTCCATTAACAGATATTACCTCACCCACCTTGTTTCTGTAATATCCAAAGACCGACATGACTACAGCTACACTGCATGTAACAATAGACCCTAACTAGAGTCCACAGATTTGTTTTTGGCAGACTAGAAAAGAACCCAAACTTCTCTATCTGAATAGAAGCACATTTTCTTTCTCTCCCACACCATTGCCATGATTTTACTATCATTCTGTAGGTATAGTATAGCCAAGCTACTCAGCAGATCCATTGGGCCCTTTCCCTCTTTAGCCAGCAATAACTCAGATCATAGGACCTGTGCGCCAGCTATTTTTTTTTTTAAAGTTTCTTACTGATTCATGGGAGCAATCAGATTAAGACGAGTGCAGAGACAAGGGAAATGGGCAGGGAAGGTTGAAAGGAAAGAACATGAAGGTCAAGGACCACGGTGAAGAGTTGAAGTAACAGTGAGGCCAGACCTGTTCTGCAGTAGCCACACGAGCTGAAACTGTCTTGCTCTCCGCTCTAAAGCAGTGCGGCAGCATTAGACAGAGCGTCCTCCCTCCCCCATGCACTGAGCACCTCAGCCCGCCCCCCAAGCTATTTGAAGGGGCTGAGGGCCTCCCCCCACAGGTTATCTAGAGGAAGGGAGCAGAAAAGGACCCCTCCCTTTGGGGGAGCAAAGGCTGCCTCTGGCAGCGGGAAACGCTCTAGAAAGGGGAAATGCATGAGGTGGCAAGGGCTACCGTGTGCGCCACGGCGGGGGGTGCTAGAGCCACCCGATCTGCAGTGGGGTTGCTACCAGCCGGGCAGGGGCTGATCCTCACTCCGGGCTGTGAGGGAGGCATCCGGGGTGGGGATCGCAGCAGGGCGCCCGGGGGTGGGCGGTAATGCAAAGCGTTAAGGCGGGGGCTGGCTTTTCCCGGGGGAGGGGGGAAGACCAGGAGGGTGCCGGGCGGCGCCGCAGCCCCCGTACCTCGTCCTCTCGCCCGCACGATGCCTTTCTTCTGCAGCACGAAGGTGGAACCGTTCACCAGGCTGGAGACCACGGCCACGCTCAAGCCCAGGGAGACGGCGGCGGGGCCGGGGCTCTGCGCGGCCCCGTCTTCCCCCGCGGCTGCACCCACCGGCATCCTCATGCCCGGCAGCACCGTAGCGCTCGCGCCTCTCCCGCCAGCCCGGAACCGGCAGCACTGAGCGGCGGCTGCGGGACCCGCCCCGAGCCGCCCAGGCCCCACCCCCGGCTGCCGCTGCCGGGGGCGGAGCTCAGCGGCCTCTGGCAGCCGAGCCGCCGCAGTAGCTGCCGCGCCTTACGCCACCTCCCCTGCCCCCGGCCCGAGGCGGCGAGAGAGGGGAGATGCCCCCGCCGGAAGCGGCTCTCCTCCAGGCAGCCGCCGCAAGTCCTGTCCGGGAAACGCGAGTACCCTGGCGCCGCATTGCGCCGCGGCCCCACAGCGGAGTACTGACATCATGGTTGCATCCCATTGTCATGTCGTGGCGTCACACTGCACTGGAATGTGGCACCGCGTCACCACGTCATGGTGCCGTGCAGCCGCTAAACCTCATGACATAGCGTTGAGGGAGACAGACAAGGTGGGTGGACTCCTAATACGGTGTATTGGCCCCACTTCTGTTGGTGCCAGAGCCCAGCTTTGGAGCTACGTGGAGCTCTTCAGGTCTGAAAGAAGAGCTCTGTGAAGCTCCCAAATTTGTCTCTCACCACCCGAAGTTGGTCCAACATAAGATATTACCTCACCCACCTTGTGTCTCTCATATCCTGGGACCACCACAGCTACGACAACACTGCAAATGACATAACATTGTCATCAAGTCGAATCTGCATCTATCATCTTACGTTGGTGCTAATCACCTTAGCACCTGAATGCTTCTCTTCCTTCCCAGAAGGTTGGAATAAAATGCTTGACTAGAATTAAGGATGTTAAAGTTTTGTTTGCACAGTGTAATTTTGAGGCAGTGTCACAACACATTGATGCACCTGGAAAACCTGATTTATGCAGTGGGAATCTAAGAATTATGTTGTGCCACTCCAATAAACCCTCTTCCTCACTTCCAACCAGGTCCTTTCTAATGTAAGCGGTGCAGAATCATTTGTTTATTTTTGTGTTAAATTCAATTTGCTTTCTCATCCCAAAACTTTTCAGTATGCTGCAGTTTTTTGAAAGGAAGGGAAACTATATAGAAAATAACTCTCCCTGTAATGTTGTCGAAGTGCTCCTGTTCAGGCCCTTCCCTGGCCTTATCAAATTGACAATCTTGTGGAAGGCTCAAGTCTGGCATTTCCTTTTATTGGAAGGTGTTACTTCTGACACCATCTCATCTGACCCGGGGGCAAAAATCATAGAAATCACCTTTAGAGGTCAACTCACTGGCAGTTAGAACAGTTGTTTGCCACTGATTGCTTAGCTGGGGTTACTCTTTTAAGTGTACACGATGCCTTTGTCTGATGTTTTATGTTTCTCCATTCATATAATAGCACTCTGCACATTTTAATAAACCAATAACAGTATTTTTTCAATGAATGTGACATTTATTTTAAAAGATTATCACACTGCAAGAACTCACATCACAAAATGCAAAGCTGTATAAAAGTTGAATGAAATGGCTAGACTTCAAGGTTAAATTTTTCTTAGTAGGCAGGATGTTTACTACTCTATGGCTTATATGTTATTCATCAGTCTTGATCAAATTTTCATGCAAATAAATGCCCCTTTTGTGTGTCATGGATTTCAACATTACAGATATATTTTAGTAAGATGACTGAGACTGTCAGATTAAATTTGGCTTTATTTTGTGCAATGCATCAGATGTCTAATTAACATTCCTTGGCTTTAATTGGAAGTTTCTGGTCATAGTATTCCAGGTAGACACAATATTGTGAGTGATGATGGACTGAATCCTCAGGTTTCTTCCTCAGGTCTGGTCTTGTTTTGGCTACTTCATTTCCTAGGTCAGGTTTTGTGTTTCTCACACCTGGGCTACAGTTCATAAAGAACCAACTATTACATTTACTTGACAAGAGGACTGGACACACTAACAGACAAACAAGAATCTCAAAAGCAAGCTGCATCTGACAGAACCAAATACAAATTGCTAGAAGTATTTTTAAATCCTTTTTGTCTCAAGACAGTTTCTTCTCAGACAAGGTTGAATACATAATAGCTATGTTATAACAATTATTTCAGCCTGTCTAGAAATAGAACTTTAAGAAAGCTTCTTAAAGCTTCCTTCTTTATGAGACTCATTCTCTCTAAATCGCAGAAATAATAATTTGCTATCTTAACTTTTCTTTTTGTGCCTAATTTCAGTATTGCCAACTCCACAAGTTTGAAAATTATGAGTCAGGCCACTGCAACCACGAGAGAGGTCAAAAACACTATTTAATCTCATGATTTTGGGGGCCAATCATCTGATTTTTCTTAATTCTCTCTGCCCACCTCAATATCTGCTTTATAATGACAGTGTCTTTCAATTTCATACAAGTAAGGTGATTTTGGCTGACACCCCTGGAGCTCTCACTAGAGGACCTGTGACAGAATGTACCCCTGTACTCACACCCTACTGTCAAGGCTGTATCCCCACTTTGAACCTTAGGGTACAAATGTAGGGGCCTGCATAAAAACTTCTAAGTTTATCTACCAGCTTAGCTTTGGTCCGCTGCCACCATCACAAGAATTCCCTCCCTGGGAAGCCTTGAGAAACCTTTCACCAATTCCCTGGTGAACACAGATCCAAACCCCCTTGGATCTTAAAACAAGGAGAAATTAACCATCCCCCCTCCTTCCTCCCACCCTCCTTTCACCAACTCCTGGTGAATACAGATCCAAACCCCCTTGGATCTTAAAACAAGGAGAAATCAATCTGGTTCTTAAAAAAGAAGGCTTTTAATTAAAGAAAAAGGTAAAAATCATCTCTGTAAAATCAGTATGGAAAATACTTTACAGGGTAATCAAACTTAAAGAGCTCAGAGGACCCCCCTCTGTCTTAGGTTCAAAGTACAGCAAACAAAGATACACACTCTGGTAAAATGTGAATATGCATCCGAAGAAGTGGGTTGTAGCCCACGAAAGCTTATGCTCTAATAAATTTGTTAGTCTCTAAGGTGCCACAAGTACTCCTGTTCTTCTTGCGGATGCAGACTAACACGGCTGCTACTCTGAAACTCTGGTAAAAAGGTACCATTACAAACATTGAATCTATCTCCCCTTGTAAGTATTCTCACACTTGCTTCTTATCAAACTGTCTGTACTGGGCTATCTTGATTATCACTTCAAAAGTTTTTTTTCTCTTACTTAATTGGCCTCTCAGAGTTGGTAAGACAACTCCCACCTGTTCATGCTCTCTGTATGTGTGTATATATATCTCCTCAATATATTTCACTCTATATGCATCCGAAGAAGTGGGTTGTAGCCCACGAAAGCTTATGCTCTAATAAATTTGTTAGTCTCTAAGGTGCCACAAGTACTCCTGTTATTTTCATTGTACAAAATATGCCTTCTAAGATATCGTTTGAAAACTCATAATTTGCTGATCTGTATGGTCCTGATAAAATGTGTGGCAACACTATGGTGTTATTAACACATGTTCCAAACTGAATGTGGGAAACAGGTCTGTCTCAAACAAAGAAATGTGTGCTCTTTTTAATTTGCATTTAAGCAATAAACAATCATTAAGCAGGAAGGGAAACAAAGGAATCTAAAAAAGGTGAGAAAAAAGCAGTAGGGTAAATTTTTCCACATAGACCTTTTGTCTCCTGATACCCATCTGGAAATGTTTTTTCAAGAGGGGAACTGAAACTATAAAAAAGGAGGAACACACACCCACAGGCACCCCCCTCCTCTCTGACCTAAGAAGTTTGGTCAGTAAGACTGCTGAAAGCATGTGGTGAGAAAACTTTGCTTTGAATTTAATACTTTGTTAAGTTAGGCTCCAGTTGCATTTTATCTTATTTTTCTTGTAATCATTTCTGACTTTTATGCCTCATTACTTGTATTCAAAATCTATCTCTTTGTAAATAATTAACTTGTTTAATCCAGTGTGTTTAAATTGAAGTGTCAGGGAAACTCCATTTGGGGTGACAAGTTGTCTGCATATCTTTTCCATTAAAGAAATAATGGACTTTATATACTCTGTACTGTCCAGGAGAGGGCTGGGCAGTACAGGACATACATTTCTGGAGGGAAATCTAAGACTGGGGCTGTGTTGGGGGTCACCCTGCAGTATAACCAAGGCTGGTGAGAGGCAGAATGTAATCCAGCTGTGACTGGCAGGCGCAGTTACTGACAGACACTTGTATGCTGGAATGCTGTTTGTGAGTGGCCCAGGTGGGACCTGCTTCAACCAAAGAATTGTAAGGCACCCCAGGCTGCTGGGCAGGGGTGAAAGAGCTGCTCATTAGTCTGGATTGTACTCTGGTATTTCACAGGACCCAACTGAGATTGGGTCTCCATTGGGCTAGTCATTCTACATACACAGTAAGAGACAGCCCCTGCCCTGAAGAGTTTTATTGTCGAGTGCAAAGCATAGTGGGGAATTTGTGACACACGAGCTAGAACTTGGACACACCCAATTTCCATTAGATGAGAACCAGCTTTAATTCCTGTGGAACTGGGCAGGATTCAGACTGGTAACCTTTAGGTGAAAAGCATGCTCTCTCATTCACAACACCCTGAAGCATCCAGTCCCCATAAGTACTAATGTTACACCTTTGAGAATAAGGCTTGCTTTCTAGAAAGATAAGTTTACAGTGCATGAGTGGTGCCAGAACACTCCAGAATGGTGTTCTGGGACTTTTGGGGGAAGCTGTAACAGTGTTCTGGGACTTCTGGTCACTGAGCCACCATCATTCCTTCCAGATCAGGGTCCAGACTCCCAGGAGTACCCCTTGAGCCAGGGGAGACCCACAGACCGGCTCCCTGCTCCAGAAGGAGAGCTGGGTCCTGACTTAACAAGCCACCTTCTCTCCTTCTGGAGTGGGAAGCTGGGTTTGGACTCTCAGGGGTCCTGTTGGGTCAGGGGGCATGGGCCAGTGGGACACCTACTTTGGAAGGAGAGATGGTGGCTCAATATCCCAACAACCAAGCTGCCAATCTTTCCTTCCAGAGTGGGCCCAGAAGCAGAA